CCAAACAAGAGCTTAATACCCCCTCGCCATCAATTTCTGCCCTTGTTTGAGATCCTTAAAATTTTAAAAACATAATTTTGAATATTATTTTTTGAAGAATGTGTGATTAAATAGTAGAAAAAATTTTGAATTTACGTGAATAATATTTTATTGTGAGAATGTGTGATTGAAAATTAATATAAGAAATAAATTAAAGTAAAGTAAAGGATGTGAAACATGAATTCTGTTAGCTTTTTTGTTAAAATATTTTTCGAACGTTGAAATGAATAGATTATATAGAACTTTTTCCATCTCATCATCTCCTTACTCTTATTTAAGCCGCCAAAATGTTGAAGTTGTCCCTATATAATTTATAGAAAATTGAGAGTGTATGTCAGTTTATGAAGGTTGTGGATTATTCTTGTGGTGTGATCCACTCATAGATCTATGTAAACAATACCTGATCTTCTAAGATCCAAAAATGCATATAGACAATAGGTCTTGAAATTGCAAAGGCTTAGTAATGCTTTTGGATTTAAAAGCTGGATTTTTTTATTGTTTTCTTCTAATGTGGGTAGTGAATGATGAATTAGTCTACTAATTTTGTCCTCAAGCAAATCGAATGTAAGTTATCTAGATGGTGTTGTTTCCATTATCATACCAGTCTAATGTAATTAATTTTTCAAGTAATGTTGTAAAATTAAGTGTTTTAAATGGAATATAAGTTGAAGTTTTCTAATTTTACTTTATTTTAAAATTGGAATGTGTATATTGTACTGACTATGGAAGAAGAAGAAGACCTAGTGAATTGTTCAAGGGATCCTGTGCAACTGAACACCGAGCTTGAAACCTCTTGTGGAATACAACCCTATCTTTCTAAACTTTAAGGAGAACAACATTGACATTGATAAACTTTGTGTAACACCAACCTAGAATTTGTAACTCTGCACAATATCATTAACTATATTTCCTCTGTCGAATGAAGATAAGTGGGAAGTTATCGTCCATATTCTCTCACTTAATACGTTGTTACTACCAGAAGTTGAACCTAATGGTCTTAGACGTCCACGTTTGTCTAGAATATCATTTATCGGAGAATTTTATCGATCGTGTAGGTGTGGCAGGTGCTAAGGAATAGGGCATACTCGCCAATTTTGTACAAGTCATATTCCTCTAAATAACAATTAGATCAGTGTGTAATGATGCCGTTGCTAAATGAACAGTATTTACATTTATTTCAAAATATTACAAATTTATTTCGTAATTAAATAACAATTATTTCATAATTACAAAAAAATAATAATAAAATCAACCTTACCTTATGTATGTTACTCAAAAATTCAATATACTTTTATGGCAAACATGCTATATCACCTTGGAGTGCTACGACCTCAACACAAAGGTCTACGAAGTGGCCATGTAGTACTCCAACATCATGAGATAAATCATCGACCCTATCAATCAATTGTCATCCCAGATCATTGACTCTTCCTATCAACTCTTGTTGCAGTGCGCTGACCTCTTCCACTATAAATTCAATCAAGTGAGCATACATATCATTGAAATAGATCCATGGGGAGGAGTCTGGACAAGAGAGAATGAGATCTCCTCGGCAAAAGTGGTGCCCTCAACAGAGGTGATCGTCGATCAACTAGACAGTGCTCCTACACAAATGACAACATTAAAAATTAACTTAATTAATAATTGCAAACTCATACAAAATGATAATCAATAAATTATATTTAATTCAAATACCCAATCTCGGTCCAAAATCGAATCAGATATCCGATCGTCTTAAGTGAGCGGAATGGCTAATTCACGCACAAGATCTCAACCCTCATCCTCCATCAATGGCATAAAATCAAGTATGACTTCAACCTAACATATTGACATTTCAATTAGTTAATGATCATGTGATAAGATTTTAAACTATGTATAATATAAATCACAAAATGTATAATGTCACATGAGGATCGTCGAGGAGAGCCGATAACTGTTTTTAAATGGATGTCTGTTTGTGGGAATGCTCGCCAACGATACATCCGAGGGCAACATGTCTCACATCACCTCGCAAAGCAAATACCCAATAAGGAGATAGTCTCATATGTTCAGATCTGCAATACATACAATTATTATAGCCCCATTTGAGCTACATTATTGTAAAAAATGATAATGAAAAATATAACCGTTATGGGCCGCACACAAGAAATAAAAAGTTAAATATTGTGACTTGATGTGATGAATAACGGTCATATTTTTCATTTTAATGAGAAAATAATAGGGCTCAAACAGGGCATATATATAAATTCAATATAAAATATATTTTAACGTTGATTATGTTAAACATTTACCTGCATTGTTAAGGAAAATTCATAGGTATCGTACTTACACACTGACCTCTTGAACTTCGAGTGTGATCTGGTGAAAACGTGTAACCAAAATATCTCCTACCCTATGGATAGTTATTGAAGGAATCGATATCATCGATGATCTCTAAATGGAAGAGATTGATTGCAACCTTTTTTTGATGACACCGCACCACGTTCTCAAAGATCTAGACTAGTCATAGCTTCAGTTTGTCTAACATTTGGTCACATATCTTGATTGCACCAATCGGCTACGACAGAAGCACCGTCTCTTATCCTTGGAAATAAACATCGTGCAACCTATTCCTTCTTTGAGTACAGTCACGAGATGTTTCATCGCTTATAATCTTTACTCCAGTCATTCGGGCGATTTTAAAAAAGGAGAAATAACAACCTTACCCCGAGGTCGAAGTGGAAGGCATCACCGTCAACTAACCTAAGCAATCTATATAGTAGTGCACTATGATTTTGTTCTCTCTGCCGTTTCATGTATTCTTCATCCGTTGGTTTCAATCTTCGTAATTTTTAGTGGATTGTTCAGTGTTATACTTAGTGTATGATGTGTGAGATTGAAAGGAGTTTACTATTGTGGCTAGTGTTTATGCGATAGAAAACTATGAAGAAATCTAAACATTTGTAGCCGTTCTTGGTTGATTCTAATATATCTAAAGTTGTATCTACTTATAGATGCTCATAGGCTGAACATCTGAGCCTTTTTGGGTAAAACAAATCTCTGTGTTCTTGGACTTTTATTTCTTGTGATTTAAGATTTTTCAATAAACTTAAGTTTAATCGATTTTATACAAACGTGTTTGGGGACCAACAATAGAATTATGCAAGATTTTGCCGATCTAGAAAAATTTTCATCAAAATATAATGTTAGGGGAGTATTGTGCAGACATGGTAAAGATTAGAGTTATTGTGCCAATTGCCCTAAAATAAGCATGTGAATTTAATCTTGTTGGGTTGTACGCTCATATAATATATTTTGCTATATGAAATAATTATTTATAATAAATAAGTTGTGATTTTATTTATTTATTGCATTTATTTATTATTAAGCATGCGAATTAAAGTGCCTATTATCACTTATTATAATATAAGTTGGGTATTTACGTTGAGAAGTATAGTGTGAGACAACTTATATTTTGATTATAAATAATTTGTTTATAATCAATATATAAGGGTTGATATCTTGTACTGAAAGGTTGTAATGTTAATTGATTCAGTATTCAAGTTTGTGATTTGTCATCATTATAGAAATAGTTAAAGGTAATATTAGAACATTTGAAATGTATTGAACGGATCGCATGTCGAATTTAATTCTATAGCACGACCATGCAGAGAATTAAATTTAACTTAACCATCATGTATTTCATCTAAATCCCTTGACTGGATTATGTATATCTTTTTTGTGATTTTAATGGTTATTTGATTCATCAATGAGTGAAATCATTTTGATTGGTCAAATATATCGATGAGTTGGAAACTTGAGAATAAGCTAAGTAGAGAATGTAAATTTGTGTCGGGAACTGTCATCCTGAAAATTTGGTAGAGTTATTACTTAAATATTTTTTATTGAACGATTAAAATTTGAGTTCAGTATTTAGTGACGGTTAAACTTCAACATCTATGATTAGTTTGCAGGATCGTTGAAGAAAATGTTACTTAAGTCAGTGATAATAATTAGAACGATAAAACAGTCATTTATACTCGTACCTAATTATCAGATCTCGAACATGAATAAAATACATATATGATAGGTCAGTAGAAAGTATTACAGATTTATTGACTTTTGCGATATTTTATATTCCAATAGTTCAGTCTTTTGCCTTTTGTAAAAAAGCAATGACTAATAGTTAGATTAAGTGATTTAGGGTCGACCAGACATGATCTAATTACTGGAACTTGGATAATATATGTCCGATCAAGTTCCTATCGTAGCTCTATAAAGTATTTGAACTTCATTATGGTAATTATAATAATTTTGGGCTTAATT